TTTATCAGCTCCCGCCTGCAGCGCGCAGCTACCTACTCCTCCTCCCCCCAAACCATCGGTGAACGAAACTGCGGCAGCTACAACCACAGTACGACAAGTACGTGGTTATTACAGCTGACAATGATGATGATGGTGATGAAATTGGATTCCGGTCCATCCTGTGTGCCTTGCTAGTGAAGCTGCCTTGATTCAGTACCGGTGTTGTAAAGTCTCTATCTGCTTAGAAGATCGGACTTCTGACCACTCTATTAAGTATGTACCTAGCCACCGGATCTTCATAACGTCAACTGAGATTATTGTCAGCAAAGATCTTGTGCGTAGTAGTTTCGGGATACATGTTCCGTTGGGTTGAAAAACTTCATAAAATGTTCGCAGTATGACATATGTTCTAACATGTGTTCATTGTGACTCCAAGGTGCAGTTTCAGAACACTGCTTGTATTCTTTCGTACCTACCTATTTCAATGTCACCCATTTCTACACGCAGTACGCCTTCGCACGTCTGGTCCATTTCCGGGCCATAGCATTTATCCTATTGTAGTAACCAGAAGAAAGTTACACGAGAAAAAATCATTACGGATTATGTCTGCCCATTAGCTGGATAACTTCCAAATATAGTTTATTCCATGTATTAAAGGTAGCAAAATCATTAGTTTCCCCACAAATATTGGCCATCCGTTCACCAAACTTGACACTTAGCTTGCAAGCGTTTTGTCTTCAGTCTGGCGTCAATGCGTAAACGAATAGGTCTCGTCGACTGTGGACGAAGCACCTTATCAAACACCAGAAAAACCCCACAAAAATGCCATTATTTTGACACTGACATGCTAGTTAGAACTAGAAATCCGAGCATACGGGTGCACTGAAATGACCTACTCCGCTGGTGTCATCCAATGTCAGTCGGTTTCGAAAAGCGTATCACATTAGAATGAAGTGAAATGCTTTGCAGAATGCAGAGCTATTTGTCGTTTTTTCACTCCAGACACAATGTAACTAGGAACCGAACTTAAGTGCCTTCATAAAGAGGCATTTCTGGCTCATATCTTGGCCTGGACATAATATTTTTCGAACTATTCATCCGGCATTGTGTGCTATTCTCCTTAGATTCCTAAGCAAACACGCTATTAGAAACTGCCAACTTGTGAGGGAAATGACAGAGTAGGAATTAGTAATTTTGGTTACTTTTTATATTTTTACTTCTTTATACGCTAGGCAGTCGAATTTCGGCTCAAACCTCTTGCTTATGTATTTTTTGCCTTTTAAAAAACACAAATTAAATCAAATTGTAAGCTACCATAGGTTCATCATCATCATCGTTGTCAGCTGTAATAACCGCTTACTTGTCGTGCAGTGGTTGTAGCTGCCACAGTTTTGTTCAGCCATGATTCGGGGAAGTGGTGTAGTTGGCTGCGCATAAGAGGCGGGAGCTGATAAATTGGTGCATAAATCCAGCACTGTCAGTGGGCTGACAAGTGGGGAGATTGGGAGGGGAGCTATGCATTGAAGGCAGTAGCTTGGATGCATGAGCGCCATTGAGGGTGCAACTGGGTCATGTCTGACAATGTCTCTAACTATTGATGTAGGTTCCTATACAGGAGGAGCTTCGTAAACAATAGGTAGTTTTTAATTAGACAGCGTTTCGCTTGTGCGGAAAAAGCTTC